CACAATAAAGGCCATATATAACAAACCCACTGCTAATATACATGAGTACTCCACTGTGAAAGCTAAAAGTTTTTCTTCAAACATCATAACAAGCATGCTCTCTCTCATCATTGCTATTCAATACAGTACCAGACGTCCTTGCCAGAGCAATTAGGCAAGAAAAAGAAACATAAGGAATGAGTGAAATCTGAAAACCCTAAAGATGTCAAAAAAAACTTGAATTCAGTACAGTTGCAAGATACAAATACAACTTACAAATTATATTTACCTAACTTTCCAAAAAGGAAAACCCCCAACTTATAAAAGCACAGAAAAAACTTGAGAATAAATTTAATCAAAGAAGTTAAAGATCTCTAGATGATCTTTAACTGATGAAAGAAATTGAAGACAACACAAATAAATGGAGAGATGTGTTCATGGGTTGAAAGAATATTGTTAAAATGTCCATACTGCCCAAAGTGATCTACAGACTCATGCAATCTCTATCAAAATTCCAATAACATTTTTCACAGAAAAAGAAAAAAAATTCATGTAGAACCACAAAAAAACCCAAGCAGTACTGAGCAAAATAAGGCTGCAGGCATCACACTACCTGATTTCAAAAACAAAGTTATAATTACCAAACTAGAACTGTGCTGTCATAAAAACATGCACACGAGACAAAGGAAACAGAATAGTCCATAATTAAGTTCACACATTGCCAGTCCATTGATCTTTGGCAAAAGTGCCAAGAGCACTGGTGGTTGTAGTTGTGGTGTAGTGCATAAAGCCACCTCCTGTGACACCAGCATTCCATGTGGGCACCAGCGCCATGTCCTTACCACTCCACTTCCAATCTAGCTCCCTGTTAATGGCCTGGAAAAAGCAATAGAAGATGGCCCAAGTGTTTGGGCCCCTGCAATCCATGTAAGAGACCCAGATGTAGCTCACAGTTCCTGGATTCAGCCTGGCCCAGCCCTAACCCTTGTGGCCATCTAGGGAGTGAACCAGTGGATGGAAGATCTCCCCTCTCTCCCTCTCTGCAACTCTGACTTTCAAATAAATAAATCTTAATAAGTAATAGTATTGGAAAAACTAGATATCCACATATAGAAAAATGAAATTGAGTCCTCAAAAATGATTAAGACTTAAACATAAGACCTGTAGAGAAACACACAGGATAAAAAGCTTCTTGACATTGTTCTGACATATGAATTTTTTAGATATGACTCAAAAAACACAGCCAAAAAAGGGCAAAAATAGACTAATAGGATTAAGCCTATGCAAAGCAAAAGAAACAATCAAGAAAAGGTAAACAATACCTAAGGAATGGGAGAAAATATTTGCAAATCATACACCACTCTTGGTAAGGGCTTAATATCCAAAATACATAAGGAACTGAAAGAGCTCAACAGCAAGAAAACTAACGACAAAATGGGCAAATGACTTAGACATTTCTCAAAGAAGATATACAAATTGACAATGTAACTAATCATCAGGAAAATGCAAATTAAAGCCACAATGATATACTGTCACTTCACTGTGAGAATGGCTATTACAAAGAAAGACGAAAGATAACAAGTATTGGGAACAATGTGGAGAAACTAAAACCTTGGTGTATTATTGTTGGCAGTGTAAACTGGTACAGAAATTATGAAAAACAGTATAATTCCTTAAATTTTTTTATTGTATTTTATTTCTGTGAGAAGCAAGGAAGGAAGACAAAAAACTGCTCCCATCTGCTGGTTCACTCCCCAAATGCTCTAAAAGCCAGGACGGGCCAGGGTCAGAGCCAGGAGCTAGAAAAGCAATACAGATCTCCCAGGTGTGCAGCAGGAATCCAATCACTTGAGCTATATCACCACTGCCTCCCAGGGACTGCACTGGTTGGAATCACAGGAGCCAGAGCCAAGAATAAAACCCAGGCACGCTAATGTGCAGCAATGGGTATCTTAACCACTAGGCGAAATGCCTACTCCCAGTGGATAGAAGACTCCTCTCTCTCTAACTCTTTCAAAAAAAAAAAAAAAAAAAAAAGATATTCAACATTATCAGTCCCTAGGAAAAAGCACATCAAAAATAAAACACAATGAGATACCACTCACATACTACCCACAATGGCTAATTGCTAATTATAAAAAGCAGGTGTTGGCAAAAATGTGAAGAATGCTGGTGGGACTATAAAATGATGCAGCTATTTTGGAAAATATTCTGGCTATTCCTCAAAAATACTAAACATGGGGCCGCCTTGTAGTGCAGTGGTTCTTGTTAAGCTGCCAACATCTCATATAAGCATTAGTTAGTGTCCCAACAGCTCCACTTCTGGTTTAGCTCCCTACCAATGCACCTGAGAAAAGCTGCGGAAGATGGCCCAAATACTTGGGCTCCTGCTACCCTTGCAGGAAAGCAGGATTCATTTCCTGGCTCCTGGCTTTAGCCTGATCCAGCCCTTGGCTGTTGTGGCCATTTGGGGAATAACCATTGGATGGAGGATCTCCATCTCTGTCTCTTCCTTTCTCCAAGTAAGTTTTTAAAATTACTAAACCTATGCAATTACCATAAAAACTGTAACCACTCCAAACTACGTACCTAAAGAACTAAAATAAATCTATACAAAAACTTCTACTGGGAATCGGCGCTGTGGCATAGTAGGTTAAGCCTCTGCCTGCAGCGCCAGCATCCCATATGGGCATGGGTTTAAGTCCCTGCTGCTCCTCTTCTGATCCAGCTCCCTGCTAATGCCCTGGGATGGCAGTGTAAGACAGCCCAAGTGCTTGGGCTTCTGCACCCATGTGGGAGACCCAGAAGAAACTTCTGGCTCCTGGCTTTGGATCGGCCCAGCTCCAGCCATTGTGGGCCATTTGGGGGGTGAACCAGCAGACAGAAGAGCCCTCTCTCTGTTCCTTCCTCTGTCTGTAACACTGTTTCTCAAATAAATACATAAATAAATCTTAAAAAAACACTTTTAGCATAGTGTTTGTAACAGTTCATAGCATTCATATAAAACAACACACAGAAAACAAACACACAAATGTCCACCAAATCATAAACAGATAAACAAAACACGGCACAAACATACAATAGACTACTGACTCATAAAAAGGAATGAGTATTGATGTGTAATATACTACAACACTCATGGATCATGAAAACATTATGCAAGGTGAAAAGTCAAACACAAAATGCCATATAATGTGTAATCCCATTTATATGTATGAATGTCCAAAGAAAGCAAACCCAGGAAAACACAAAGTAGAGTGGTTATTAGCAGCTGGAATGTAGGATACGGGAGCAGGGTACCAGGGCAGCTGCTGCTTTATGTTCATAGGTTAATTTTCCGGGTGATAAAAACTATCTAAAATTTGATAGTGGTGATAGTTGAACAACATGGCAAATACACTAAAAAGCCCTGAATGTATATTTTAAATGGGCTCACTTTATGGTATGTGCTTTATTTCTCAAAATAAAAATATTATAGAGAGAGGCATTTGACACAGTGGCTGAGTTGCTGCTTGGGATGCGTACATCCCATAATGCAGTGCCTAGTTCAAGTCCTGGCTACTCCGCTTGGTATTCCAGCTTGTACACCCTGGAAGGCAGCAGGAGACGTTTCAAGTAACTGGGTCCCTTTCGCCCACACAAGGGAAACCTGGATTGTGCTTCCAGCTTCCTCCTAGCTCAACCTCAACTGTTGCAGACATTTGGAAATAAACTGGCAGATGGGAGCTGCCTCTTTCTTTCTGTTTATCAAATAGATAAAAATTTTAAAAAGAAAGTATTATGAAGAAAACTAGTTCACTAAGTGAAGAAAATTAAAACTGAAGTGCTACCAATACTATAAAAAAGGTGTGGACCCTAGAAGGATTCAAGAGCAAATATTATAGTAAAACTCTAAAAATAAAAGAAACTGGAATATGTGTGTGGCCCAGAGTGGGAAGAAGTATCTAACTCACCTACAAGACTCAGTTTTAGTGTTTGGACTTCATTTCTGAGCCATTCTAACTATAATATTGTAAATACTCATGACTTCTCAGGATGTTCATAGCTTAATTTTTTATTTTTTTCTAAAAGATAATCCAAAGAACAAAAATAAAACTTTTTTTTTCAACAGAATAGAACTCATTCTGTCTTGTAATTATCAGATATCAACTGGACCCTTTTATAGGAGAGCTTACTAATCAAATTTTTCCTATATTTTGAAGTATTTTGTTATGACTTCATCCTAGGAATTACTTCAGCATTAGTCATCACTAATTATTCCCTACTGAACAAAGTTTAGTTGAAAACTAAAATAAAAAGCAAAAAGAAGGAAGACAGTATATGGTTAGCAAAATACTAGTCCCCAGTGACTACACTCTCCCCTCCAGAACCTGTGAATGTGTTACCTTGCGTGGCAAAAAGAACTCTGCAGATGTGTTTAAGGATAGACTTTGAGTTGAGAGGTTACCTGAGTTAGTCAAATCTAATCACAGGGGTACTTAACAGCACTTTTTACCCTAAAACACATCATGCTGTATTATAATTCTCCTAAAATATGTTCTGCCACATTAGAAATCACTGTTATAAATTGTTTTTCACAATCATCAAAGTTCCAATAAGTAATAATCTGCTGCTAAACATACATATAGGGATCTTTTAGCAAAATACATTTTAGGGCCAGCGCTGTGGAATGCAGGGTAAAGCTGCCACCTGAGATGCCATCATCCCATATGGGTGCCCATTAGAATCTTGGCTGCTCCACTTCTGACCCAGCTGCCTGCCAATGGCCTGGGAAAAGCAGCAGAAGATGGCCCAAGTGCAAGTGCTTAGCCCCTGCCACACACGAGGGACCCGGAAGAAGCTCCTTGCTTCTGGCTTCAGCCTAGCCCAGCCCTGGCTGTTGCAGCCATCTGGATGGTGAACCAGCGGAAGAACCCTCTAACTCTGACTTTCAAATAAATAAATAAATCTTAAATATAGATATACATATATTAGACTAGTTAATACAAAGACTATCAAATAAAGATGAAAATTTTACTCACTTTAGCTCCAACACTGCAACTGCCAGTGCTCCCAGTGCTCCCACTTGCAACTCCAGTAAACCTAGCTTCCAATAACTCTTGCCTTCTTGGATCCAGGCTATGAAGCTCATCCATTGCACCTATTAAGAAAACAGACAAGTATGTATGTATATATGTATTTACATACACACAAACACTACATTTGTGTCTAGTTAAAATGTTCATAAAATTTATGTGCAGATGTTTAAAATCCTACGGTGGATTTCCAGGATTTCTGATTTCAACCACAGTAATACATTTCCCAATTCAACACAAAAAAACACATACACATAGATTATAAAGTTTTACAAAACATGCAATCTTACTGCACTGCAGTAATGAATTTTATACAGTGTCTACTATCTAGAATAGTCTATGCTATTACGAAAGGTGAGCGTTGGAAGGGACAGCTGGGTAAGGTTTTTGTTTTTTTTTTTTTTAAGATTTTATTTATTTATTTGAGAGAAAGAGTTACAGACGGTGAGAGGGAGAGACAGAGAGAAAGGTCTTCCATCCACTGGTTCACTCTCCAAATGGCTGCAACAGCCAGAGCTGTGCCGATCCAAATCCAGGAGCTTCTTTCAGGTCTCTCACACGGGTGCAGGGGTGCAAGCATCTAGGCCATCTTCTACTGCTTTCCCAGGCCATAGCAGAGCACAGCCCTAGAGGACTAGAATTGGTGCCCATATGAGATGCTGGCACCATGGGCAGAGGATTAACCTACTGAGCCACAGCGCCAGTCCCCAGGGGTGTTGGTTTTACTGGCTTTGTGCCTAGCAGTTAAGATATCCACATCCCACACTTGAGTGCCAGGGTTCAAATCCCAGCTATGATCCCAACTCCAGCTTCCTGCCATTGCAGACCCTGGGAGGCAGCAGTGATTAATAAACCAAGTGACTGGTTCTTGCCACCCACGTGAGAGACCTGGACTGAGCTCCCAGCTGCAGACTTTGGTTGAGTACAGTGCCCAGCATTGCTGGCATGTTGGGAGTGAACCAGTGGATAGGAGTTTTATCTGGCTAGCTGGCTCTCTCTTTCTTTCTCTGCCTGTCAAATAAGGGGGAGAGACAATGGTTGTGAACCATTTAACTGGTTTAATCAACTATTAATGGACCATGGATGTACAGTTTGAAAAATACTGCTCTCATAGGGTAATCTCCCTACTGTAAGCTTATACAAAATTTTGACACTAAGTGACATTACCACTTACTTAAACGGTATCTAACTACATTTTAAATTGGGAAGGACTTGTCGCTCCCCCTCTTCGTGGAGGAACGACACAGGACCCTGCACTGTTCTTTCGTCTGCTCGGCCCTCCCCGGGTTTGCTGCTGGTTCTTCCCGGGTTGGCTACCGTCCCTTCCACCTCCGTGGAAGGGCGGTTTCCCCTGCCACTTTCCCCACTTCCGCGGGGGAGCGGCACACCGCCGGCCGGCTCTCTCGGGGGCTGCACAGGTGTTCCTTCAGATAGATGTTCCTGGTGCATGTTGTCTCTCTCCTCCTTTATAGTCCTCTTCCACCAATCCCAACTCTGCTACCCACACGCCAAGTACGCTGCTCTCCTCCAATCAGGAGCAGGTCCTGCTGTTTATTGGTTGAACTGGAGGCAGCTGTGTAGAAGCTGTTTCCTCCTCTCCCAGCGCCATATTGTGGGAGAGCAGATGCATAGAATAAGTCTTAATTCCAGTAACAGTCTAGTCTGAGTTGCTCCCCCACAGGACTGTTTTATCACTGTCTTATTCCTGTAGATATCATCTCTCAATGTGTGTAACTGAATGGTTCCAGAACTCCCTATTACAAAATTCAAAATGCTGAAGTTCCTATTATATAAAACAGCAGTGTTTATTTGCATGTAACCTACACATATCCTCCTGTTTACTTTAAATCATCTCTAGACTATTTATAATACCTAAAACAATGTAAACACTATGGAAGAAGTTACAGTGTATTTTTAGGGAATGATGACAAAGGGGGAAAATCCAGACATATTCAAAATAGATGCCAACTTTTTCTAAGTATTTTCAATTTGACTGAACCTGTGGTTGTAGAACTTACAAGTACAAAGGGTGAACTCTACAGCTTATGGTTTTAAGTTTCCATAGGGTAAAAGAAACACAATATATTTAAGCAGATTACTGAAGTTAACACCTATTATTAAATAAGCATCTGGAAAATTAAGAGGAAAGAGGAAAAAGCACCCTTGTATAATTATTACTATAAAGACTAAAGCAGCACAATCTCTAGCTCAAGTTCAGTTAAACTCTTAAAAAAATATTTATCTATGTCTGCTAATTCTCTACTGGAACACTCCAAAACCAGCAGAAATGTGGAGTTGTCAAAGGGAGTAAGGATGATAGTACCAGAATCCAGAATGATGTAAGGAGCTACCCTAGCCTCCTTCCACACACCCTGACACTCCTCTCTTAATAGCTAACAACTACTCTCATAGAATTTCTCTTTTAAGGTTCGCTTTCTCACCCTTCATCTGGAGAGAACTGGCAGGACACAGGCTGCTCTTCCCCATTTATCTGCATCCCTAAACCTGCATATATTCTCCCCTGTCCACTCCCTGCTTCTGTCTCAGAATACAGTGACTCTCAAAGTCCAAAGCTTTAACCCCAATCTTTCTCTTTTTTTAACTTTTTAAGATTTATTTATTTATTTGAGAGGCAGAGTTACAGAGAAAGAGGTCTTCCTTCTGCTGGTTCACTCCCGAAATGGCCTCAATGGCCAGAGGAGTGCCGATCCGAAGCCAGGAGCCAGGCGCTTCTTCTGGGTCTCCCACGTCGGGGCAGGAGCCCAAGGACTTGGGCCATCTTCCACTGCTTTCCCAGGTCACAGCAGAGAGCTGGATTGGAAATGGAGCTGCTGGGACTAGAACTGGCACCCATATGGGATGGCAGCACTGCACGCAGCGGCTTTACATGCTACACCACAGCGCCAGTCCAGTAAATGTACTTATTGACACTGAACTAAACACTTTAAAAGATCCTTTAAAAGCTTTACAATTGAATCAAAATACACCAGATTTGACCAACATTTTAAAATACTGCTGATTCATACGACAAGATTACAAAATGAAAATGCAAACAAGAGACTGAAAGAAAACATGTATAAAACACATATGTGCTATGCATTATGCCCACTCTGGCTTTGCAGCTGGTTGTTGGCACATTGGTACTCAATGGGGAAGTTGAGGACACTGGGCCAGACAATAAGAAGATACATGTTCCCCATTTTCCTCCCTCAGATCTGTACCTTCTTGCGGGACCTGAACCCACTCCACATGAAGTCACAGAGGAAACTACATATATACCAAGAGGAGAAAACAAGTTTCTAACCAAAAACTCTAATTGGAGGCCCCAACCTCACCTTCATCCTTTAATGCCTTCTAACAGTTTTTAAGATCTCTTGAAGTAATATAGTCAACTGCCACTAGTATGCTGGCACATAACAAATGCTTAACTAATTATTGTTATTTTTGTCTAAAAATCTAACCTTGAATACTGGAGTACTACTCAAAATGCAGTCTATGGACTAGCAACAACTATCACCACCTAAAATGCTATACTATAAGAAATGCATAATATTTGGTCTCTCCACAGACATACCAAATCAGATTGTGCATTTTAACAAGCTACCCAGGTTCCTACTACTTGCATTCATGGTTAAGAAGCACTGCTGGAAAACAGATCTGCAACCTTTTTCTGTAAAAGACCCAACTGTAACTATTTTAGTCCTTACAGGCAAAATCTCAAAAATTGCTTATGTAATAAGAGAGAAATTAAGTGTCCACAAACTTTTTATGGATAAAACTCAAGACACAATAACTGTTCATTATATACTATATATCTGATAATGAAAAGACTGGAATTCTTTTGGGATTTAACGTCTCATTTAATTAAGTTTCCTATCATCAAAATCTATTGCAAATACTCATCTGTTAACACTGATTTGTAATGAGATTTTATGTATTTACCTTTGAAAATGTCCTCACACAGATAAGGTACTATCAAATACTGATATTAACCTGCAAGCACATAATTTTATTGAACATATTCATTACTTGGGAGGCAGTTACAGAATTATATTGCATTCTTCTTTCAATATCTGTCTTTTAATATTTGCCTACACTACACATTAATCACTTCTATCTGAAGGTTAGGTAGAAGTTCTTCAACTGCACAATTAAATGGGTTGTGAAGTAAGGAAATCTTCATTGTACCTGTCCGAAAAACACTGGTGATACTAAAGTTTGAGGCTAGAAACTCTATCAATTGAAATTCACACAGGAATGAAGATCTAACTTCTTTGACAGCATATGAAATATATAAAGCAGCTTGACATTACTTGGGATTGAAATACCAGTTTTCATTGAAATGACTTTACTTCAGGCTGAGTTTCACATTTTGCCTTATAATTTAGGTTAAATTCATTTAAAGACAGTATTGATTCAATAAAATACATAATAGATTCAAATATTTTCTGCAAAGTACCTGCTGATAACACAACAAATAAAACTAGGCTTTGAACACCTTACACTTTTATAAACTTTGTAAATTTATCCAACTAAATCTTTTTCTGCTCTTATGCATATTTTATAACCAGCCATTATAACACATCTTAGCAGATCCCACTTCAGATTATACTTGGTATTTTCTCAACTTTGAAGATATTCTTCTCTGTAGTTGTTCCACAAAGACTATTCATAACACTGGTCTTTCTGCCACTTCAAACTTGGCACTGACTCCTTGAATAAACAACAACTGAGTGGTATCAATAACATCTGTGGGCTCATCAAGAGCCAAGGAAAACCACTCTAAATCATTTGCTTTATTTTTTAATTGGCTATTGATGTTGTTTCAGATGTCCTCAACTCTTAAATCAACTGTTCTTGCCAAAAAGCTAATAGTTTGAAACAAGTGTATTTTCTCTGGAAATAAATTTTTTTGACTACTGCAATCAAGCACAATTTAATTAACTCAACATCAGTAACTGGCTCCCCTTGCTTGGCTAACGAATGACCCACTTGGAAACTTATTTGGGTAGTAGCCTCATTTTCATTTCTATGAAAAAATTATACTGTAATGAGTTATTCCATT